CCTTTCTTCCCAAACGTAACCTCTACCCATTCTATCCCCTTTAGGAGTAATATTTTGAAGATGATGAGAATGATTTTAGGAAATTACACAATGAAGATAGATAAGTTGAAACAACTAACACGGCCAAGATATGATTTGATAAGCCCTCTAAAATATAGAGAGATTGAAACTCCTAAATTTCATGGAAAAAAAGAACTTGTACTCACCACGAATTTTGCCGATGGAATGACTAATTTTCCAAATTCCATATTGTTTATTTGACACTCTGGAGCACATTAAACAATCAAGTGCAACAAAATCTAAACCAACAAAAGAAGAATCTCAAGATGTCATTGCAATACTAAGAGGAATGAATAGTGATCTCTCACGAACGAAGACTACAAAACCATGAAAATTGATCCAAACAACTTTTGTTTTTTCCTCTTCCTTTCTTCCCAAACGTAACCTCTACCCATTCTATCCTCTTTAGGAGTAATATTTTGAAGATGATGAGAATGATTTCAAAAAATTACACGATGAAGATAGATAAGTTGAAACAACTAATACAGCCAAGATATGATTTGATAAGCCCTATAAAATATAGAGAGATTGAAACTCCTAAATTTCATGGAAAAAAGAACTTGTACTCACCACGAATTTTGCCGATGGAATGACTAATTTTTCAATTTTCATATTATTTATTCGACACTCTGGAGCACATCAATCAATCAAGTGCAACAAAATCTAAACCAACAAAAGAAGAATCTCAAGATGTCATTGCAATACTAAGAGGAATGAATAGTGATATCCCACGAACGAAGACTACAAAACTATGAAAATTGATCCAAACAACCTTTGGCTTTTCCTCTTCCTTTCTTCCCAAACGTAACCTCTATCCATTCTATCCCCTTTAGGAGTAATATTTTGAAAATGATAAGAATGATTTCAGGGAATTACACGATGAAGATAGATAAGTCGAAACAACTAACATGGCCAAGATATGATTTGATAAGCCCACTAAAATATAGAGAGATTGAAACTCCTAAATTTCATGGAAAAAAAGAACTTGTACTCACCACGAATTTTGCCGATGGAATGACAAATTTTTCAAATTCCATATTGTTTATTTGACACTCTGGAGCACATCAAACAATCAAGTGCAACAAAATCTAAACCAACAAAAGAAGAATCTCAAGATGTCATTGCAATACTGTAACGACCCAGACGGTCGTTTTGAGTATTATAATCCCGTTCTCCCATTTACTCCTCAATTTATACTTTACAGTTGTTTTATGACTTACCGGATTAGTTGGTTCGGGTCCGGAAGGAATTCGGAGTGAAATGAGACACTTAATCTCATAATTTAAAACTTAAGTTAGAAAAGTTGACCGGATGTGGACTTATATATAAACGACATCGGATTCGAATTCTGATAATTTTAATAGCTTCGTATGGTGATTTTGGACTTAGCAGCGTATCCGAAAAATTATTTGGAGGTCCATAGTGGAATTAGACTTAAAATGGCGAAAGTCGAATTTTTGGAAAGTTTTACCCGGGGGTTGACTTTTTGATATCGGGGTTGAAATCCGATTCTCAAAATTGGAATACCTCTATTATGTCATTTAGGACTTATGTG